AGAAAGGAAGGAAAGAAAGAAGACAAGACAAGACTAGGAGAAGAGTAGAGACATGCATAGAGGTGAAATGCATGGTTGCCAATATTTCCCTCCACCTTCAGCAACCAACAGCAAAATGTATTGGGTCTGGCTCCATGTCCTGGTAATTACAGTGGCTGGATTCCACATAGCTGACCCCAGGGTTTTAGTCCCAACCCTGTGACTTGAGAAACACAGCAGGTTTGAAGGAATATGTGTATGCCTGCCCAGATCCTGAAGGAGGGAGAGAGAGAGGAGAAAGGATTGTGGTGTGACCATTCCCCACAGGAGTGTTTTCTTCTCTCTCTTTCTCCCTCCTAGAATGTGTGCACCCTCTGAAAATAAATTAATGAATACATAACAGACAAGAAAGTTTGTATCTTGGTAGAAATTGAAGAGAGATTTTTGCCTTAGGGCGCATGTGCTCGCCAGAGAGATAGCGAGAGATACAGAGACAGTGAGAAGGAAAGTGAGAAATCACCCCCTACGAGAGATGGCTATGCTGCAGTCCCTTCTCCATTCTCCTCCCAGGATCCTGGGCATGCACACACATGCGCCCAGCAGGATTTTCAAGCCTCTGGTCCCGGGCTTGAACTGTGATCGGCTATATGGGAGTCTAGCAATGTAACCATATGTCATCTACTGGTTCTAGTATAAATTTAATGACTCTGGGCTTTAGCACAGAGCCTGGCACCTATTAAGTACTCAGAAAATCTTAAACACATGAGTGCTTCCTCCAGTTACTTTCCTCAACTTATTTAGACTCACTGGTAATTTATTTGTTCACTTATTTATTCACCTGCTCACCCAGCAGAGAGTTCTTGAGAGCCTAAGCATCCACTGTAATACAAAGGCCTGGCAAATATGTTACCTAGACCAAGACTGTGTCACAAAAGTAAACTCTGCCTCATTTTTCAAGTACTTTTGTCCATTTAGTATTTAGCAGTTTTCTCACAACACAGGATATTAATTTTGCTAATGAGGCCAAGAACTATCCAGATATTTTCCATCAAGTGGTAAGTCAACTCTGCTTCAACTTTAGGCCTGCGATGAAACCATTCATGAGAACAGGGAACTCCTGAGAGGCTTGTGAGAGTGCAGGTTCCTTGGCCCTACCTCCAGAGATTCTAGATCATTCGTCAGCAGAGGGGCTGGCATCTACTTTTTAAAAAAAATCTCCCCAAGTGATTCTCATGTGCAGTCAGGGTTGAGAAGCACTGGATTCACGGGCAGGAAAGAATGCCAAAGGTAAGTACTTGTGATTTTCAGCATGAACAAAGACTTAGTGGAAATTGGCTGCAGGGGACCAACAGTTGGTGTAATGGCTACATCGCTGAACTCCCATGTCAGTCAACTGCGGTTCGAGTCCCAAGACTCTGAGGCTTAAACTCATGCTGGCTGTGTGTGTGTGTGGGTGCCAAAGATCCCATCCCTCCAGGGAGTGATTTCTCGCTTTCTGCCTCTCTTTTCTCTGTCTTTCTGGCGGGCGAGTCATGTGCCCTACAGCAAAAGCCTCTCCAAAAAGAAAAAAAAAGAAAACTGGCTGCAGGGCACTGTGCCAGGGGAAGGGACAAAGTGAGAGTTTTCCTGAGCAGAAGGGTGATGCCATAAAAACCACATTTAATACTTTTTGGGTTTTTTTTTCCAATTTAAGTTATAAAAGTAACAGTCTTCTTGAAATAATTCAAAAGTGATGCATCAAATGAGAGTTGCAGTTTACTCTTAATCTATTTCACTCCGCAGCCTCTCCAAACCAAGCACTGCTATCAATTCAGAAGATACATCCTGGGACCAGCAGATGGCGCAAGGGTTACGTAGGTGGACTCCCACATAGGCGACCTCTAGTTCATAATCCCAGACCTAGGGTCTTAAATTCATGCTGGGCATGGGTGCATGTGTGCCCAAAATCCCGAGAAGAGAATGGAGGAGAAAGGATTGCAGTGTGGCATCACCCCAAGGAATGATTCTTGCTTTCTGTTTCCCTGTCTCTGTCTTTCCAGTGAGTGCACGCACCCTGTAGCAAAAATCTCCCTCAAGAAATAAAAAATAAAATGAACATACATTCTGATTTTTCCCTGTTCACTTATATTTGTGGGTAATTATGGAAATATATCACTTTAAACTAGAAATTGGTTATAAATATATACTGACACATTAGATATATAAAAATATATATGGGGCCAGCTGCACTGGTACAGCATGACGTGACACGCTTATGCTGAGATCACAAAGGAAGCTCGTGAGCTCACACTCCGAGGTGTCTGTGCGTGCTGGGTGTACACCTGGATGCCCGTGTTCTGGGCTGCTGAGGCTGGAGCTGGATGAGGGTGGGAAGACACTATTGGGGAGACCTCTCCCTCTCTCTCTTTCATGAAGGACATACATAAACTTTAAAAAAAATACATAGGGGGGGCCAGCAGATGGCATAATGGTTACATTGCTGAGCTCCTACATTGTCAACCACTGTTTTGAATCCTGGCGGCTTAAAACTCACGCCGGACACGTGTGCATGTGTACCCCAAATTCTAAGAGGAGAATGGAAGAGAAGGAATTGTGGCTTGGCCATCCCTCGGGGGGAGGAGGGGTGAATTCTCGCTTTCTATCTCTCTGAAGCTCTGGTGAGCACATGCACTCTATAGCAAAAATCTCTCTAAAAACAAATAAATTAATTAAAATACATAGGGATAATAAACGTAAAGTTCAAGGTTAGGAGAAAGGGAGAGGCAGCGAACATAAGGTGGCTTCCTCTGTTGATAAATAAGATAGGGCCAGGCATACAAGGGCTAGCTTGCTTATTTATTTATTTATTTATTTATTTATTTATTTATTTATTTATATTTGCCAGAGGGTGCATGTATTCACCAGAGAGAATCAGACAGAAATGGGAAAAGGGGATGAAGGAGAAAACACCTCCTAATGGGGCATGGTTATGCCACAACCCCTTCTCCATCCCTCCATCTGGCAGGATTTGGGGTGTGCATGCACACATACCTAGTGAGTTTTCCCAGTCACCAGAGCCAGGATTTGAACCATGTGGTTAGCCATGTGGGATCCCACAATCCCTAGGCCATGGGACCCTCCCTATGAGTGTTCTCTATGTTATACTTCTCTAAATACATACAATATAATACAAATTTATGTTTTTATTTTGCTTTGAATTATAATTTTAAATATAGTTTTATTGTAGAACAGTTTTAAATTTAAAGAAAAAAATGCAAAGACAAGAGTTTGGATACACTCTACCCCTGTCTTCCCTATTGAAATTTGGTTAGTATTATTGATTTTTTAATCGATTAGGGAGGATCCTGATCATGATCCACTCCCAACTTCAGCCATCACCGGATCAAGGGCACGTGTGCAGTCAGCGCGTTCAGGGAGGTCTCTGGATGTAAACCCAGAACCTTCCCGCGTGAGTCAGCCTCGCTGAGTGCTGGTACCATCGCACCACTGTCAGACCCTAGTATATTTATTTTGAAATGAATGCATATTGTTGCTGCTCATTTGTAGTTATTACAACATACTTGGTTGAATGATTTTTTTCATATTTAACTTGTTCATTTGATTCTGTTCTATAGTCATGTAAGAGCTAGATACAGTCAGAGTTTATACCTACTCTTTTCATGCATATTTAAGCAGCGAGCATTTTGATCAAAATAAGTTGAATCTGGGAGGTGGTGATGTAGACATCTGTGAGACGTTTTCAGCTTTTTATTCACACATTTAAGGAGCATCGCTAAAGTATCTTCAGTTGTTTACTCTATCCCCCTTTTTTTTCAGTTAGTCAGGAGTTACGGATGGTGTCTCCCACCTACGGTCTTCTGCAGGCTCTCAAAAAGTTATCTGTGACATGCTAATTTCCTGAAGATACCAGGGGTAATATTGCATCATCCTCAAAGCACCATGTCTTCCTCCAAAACAATTACTGCGGTCTGAAATCCACATACACTTGGATGATTCTGTGATGGCTGTTTCTCTCCTGGATTCACACGAGTCATGTGTGTTTCACTCATTGTTGGCCTTGACACCCAGCTCGGGCCTGGGACATGTCAACCGCGCCCTAGGCTGTGGGCATGGAAAGGTGATGTAGGGTTCATAGCAAACGCAAGGGGGTAGTGTGCTGCCACTTTTCCCTACCCTGGCCCAGCTCAGAAACTTGATTTTCTGACAATGCTTTTTTCTTTCTCTCTTTTCTATTTTTAATTTGCCAGAGGGCATGTGTGCTTGCGGTGGGAGACTGGGTGCTGGGGGAGAAAGAGATAGAAGGGGAGAAAGCAGTCCCCACCCGGGAATGGGAAGAGTCATGCTGCAATCCCTTCTCTACTGTTTCTCACTCCTGAGAGTTTGGGTTCACACACCTGCTGTGTTTTTCAAACCATGAGACAAAAACCACAGGGTTGGCAGTGTGAGATCCAAGCCGCCTTAACCATCAGGCCGTGAGCTGGCTCAGAAGTGCATTTTCAAAGCCTGGTCTTAGTTGCATGCCTTTGAGCTTCAACTTAATGATTTTTGTTTCATTAGTGCCAGGAATATATATAGCTACCCTTTATATAGTAATAAAATGACCTCTAAAAGCCTGATAGTATTTCTACCCAGGACATGTCAATAGAGAGTTTAAACAACAAGATACTGAAACCAGAGCAATTTAAACTGACCATCCCTCTCCATTAGGTAGACTTAATGGTATTTCAATTAAGACGATTAGCATGCCCTCTTAAATACTAATGGGCTCTGTTAATCATCACAGGCCCTTCCAGAGGTAATCGCTAACCTTGAATAACTCATTCCACGAACATTTACGAAATGCTTTTTAGGTGCTAGGGGTTTATCTGAGTGCAGAGGATTTAAGTGAGGAAGACAGGCAAGGGTCAGGTCCCAGCATTTAGCCTGTTGGCTCTTTTGCTGGGACATGGGTGAAAGAGACATGCCTGCTTACAGAGGTTCAGTACCTTTGAAATGCTATCTTGGAAATGTTTAGCGTTAAAAGCTTCATTCTAGATGAAAATGGGCACTGTTGGCTATAGTGGGCAAAAATCGTTTATGTGGCTAAATACAGACACAGAGTACAGTTCCATCGCTGTAAATGTTTTGCAGTGGCGACAATGAGACATGTAACATTTTGCTCAGCTCGTGAATACAAATATCTCACAAGAGAAAAATGTTGATTTTTAGAAAATTTATTAGAAATTATTAGAATATTAGAAATTATTAAAGAGCTATATATTTGACCAAAATATCAATATACTTTCTACGATTCAACTTCAAAGAGCCTAAAATAAATTGCTCGAATAAATTAGATCCTGAAGCTCCCAGGTGGGGAATTTTGTCGTGAGTATATCTATAATTCAAGCGGAGATAAAGGGCATCCAAATCAAAGAACTGTGAGCCCACAGGACAACTGTGGGTAGGCACTGGGTCTCTTACAAAGGGATATCTTGAAGATAAATCTTGACTCAGACTTAGGAAGACCTGAGGAGACCTTGACAGCCAGTGGGGGCAACGAAATCACAACATGTAAAATTCCTTAAATAAAAATGTATTGACTTTCTGTTGTTCAGAAGTCAAAGGGTGCATGCACTCAAGAGAGAGTCAAAGAGAGAGAGAGATGGGTGTGGGGCAAGGGAGAAAACACCCTCCAATGGGTTGTGGTCATGCTGCAATCACTTCTCTTCTATTTCTCCTTCCTGTTGGGATTTAAGCACACATAACCAGCATGTTTTCCAAGTTGTCGGGGATGGGATTGGAACCATGCAGTTGGCCATGTGGGATCTAGCTCCCTTAACCATTAGACCATAGGACTAGCTTCCCCCCCCCAAAAAAAAGTTAACTTAAATTAAAAAAAAAAAAGAAAGAAAAAGAAATACTAGATTTATAAAAACGAGAGGGGCAGCAGGTGGCATGGGGGTTAAGGTAACTGAATCCTACATGGCAAATAGAGTGGTTTGAGTCCTGCCCCAGCAGCTTGAAAAACATTTCTGTGCGTGCCTTCCTTCCCAAACTCCTGATGCAATGAAGAAATAGAGGGAAAAGGATTGTAGTGTGACCATACCTCATTGGAGATTGGCTTTCTGGAGAATGCACTCACTCTCTGGCAATTTAAAAAAAAAAAAAAAAAAAAAGGATTTAACCTGCTACTTGATAATGTTTGTGGTGAGATAATTCAAAAGCATGTGAGTTCTACTCACATTGAATGTAGTACCTAATGTGGAAAATGATGATGCTTACAGACATACTAATGAGAAGACAAAAGTCAGAACACCCAGGCCTCTGGGTTACAGGCACCCTGCTGGTGCTATTAAATGTGAGGAAGTAACCACAAACACAACAGTGTATTGGAAAACAGCTGCAGGGTAACTCATAAGAAATTCTGGGCAAGTCAGGCATTCTCTTATGTCATAAATCTAATAAAAGAAGTGCATATGGATTTAGCTATTAAATGAGGAGGAAATGGTTCAATATATCACAGGAAACAGTAACGTTGTGGGCATGGTGAAGACATTCACATGACTGAGAGTAGGAAGGGTTGCTCAAGTGAATTCAGTTAGGACTTCAAATTCTGGACCCATTTCAAATATATATTCAATGATTATTTCATACAACTGGGGACTAAAAATACTTGGATGACATTTAAGAAAGTGTGACTTCTTAGTTCCCGTGTCAAATGGACCCTGTGACAGGAAAGCCAGGAGCTAGGTCACTGTCTAGCTTATTCATTGTCATATTTCCAGCTTACTTCCTGGCTCCCAGAGTCTCTTAGTAACTGTTTAGTTGGGTTGAATTGGCTTAGCTGGAATAGAAGAATCAGAAGCAACTTGAAGGGACCTTTGAGGGAATTCTCATCATCCACCTCCCTCCCACCTCTCTTAAGGACTCTGTCTCCTCTCACATGTCCAACGCTTTGCAATCTTTCATTCATTTATCCAGCGGTTGAGTTCCTTGTATTGTCAGGCACCGTGCTAGGGACTGAGGATACACGGTGAACATGATGGACACTGTTCTTGCTGGCATCATTGAGAGCCAGCAAAATAAATGCAAACAGTAACCAAAAAAAAGTGAAATTAATATCATGAAGGAAATAAAAGGACTAAGATGGAGAATAGTGGGGGAAGAGAAAGAGAGACTGAATTTAAATACAAAGAGCTCTGAAGAACCCCCTAGAGAGATGACATTGCTGCTGAGGCCGTTGCAAAAAAAAAAAAAAAAGGTAAAGAGCTCTCTAGGCAGGAGGGAAAGCAAGCTCAAAGGCCTCTGCACTCCAAGACTTGGTGCCTCGAGAAAAATCAGTGTAGCTAAGAAGAGCGACATCTGGGAAGTGTCGCATGAGGTGAGGTAGAAAGGAGGGCAGGAGCTAGACCGTGACGTACTGATGAGCCATGGCAGAGGAGCTCAAATTTGGAAGCTATAGACAAGTTTTAAGGTGCCAGGCAATATGATCTCATTTAAGTTTGGAGGAAAACATTCTTGGTGTTCTATGGAGAATGGACTGGAAGAAGCTAAGAGCAGAAGCAAGATCAGTTAGGAGGCCATTGCAGGGATAGGGAAGAGACGATGGCAGACTGGATTCAGATATGGGCATAGCAGATGGAAACAGGGACATATAATTGACAGACTTACTGAGGTAAGGGATGACTCCTAGGTTTCCAACTTGATGAATAGAATGGGTGGAAGCCCAGTGTAATGAAACCATAGAGTAGAAAGTACAAATTGAGGAAAATTTTTCATCTGACTAAAGCCAAATGAAATAAATGAAAGTAGAGCCAATCTACTTAAAGAGGAATGAAAGAGAGAGGGGTGAGTTCTGTCTCCTGGGGCCTCTTTCTTCTTCCCAGACCACCCACAAAGTTGAGGGTGCTTAAGATGCTGGTCCATAGAGCACTGACTAAGGGGCGGATATAGACCAGAATGATAATATGGGTGTGTCTGGTAGCTAAAGAACGTTAAACACACTGTTTTCAGCTAACCTCCACGCAGAGTGGAAACACCCCAAAGCAGGTGGTAAGCACTTAGCTGGCAAACTTTGGGCTTCTTTTTATGATTTTTAAAAAACAAGATAGCTTAATTTTTTTAACTTTATGCTTCTCCATCCCTCACTTTATTGACATAAAGTGTAATTGATGGCTATTATTATGTTGCTGGAAACCTTGGAGTGGCTCTTCCAACTATTGGGGGAGGCGTATTTTCTTGGTGATGTCACCATGGCACCATCTATAACCATGAAAACTAATTGGGGGGTGGTGTATGAGCATGTGTCTCTGCTGGAGGAAGAAGACACGACAATACAATGCATGTGTTATGTGTGTAACAGTAAGATGTACAAACAGCATAAAAACTAAAAAGAGGTTTGGCTGTCATTCATCTACCTGAATGTTTTATTTATTTTGTTTGGTTTTATCCTGATCAAATATTTCCCTCAATTTGTACTTTCTAAATTTATCGAAATAGATAAAGGTGAAATAGAAACTTGCTAATTCACTAATAAAGATATTAAACACCAGTTAGCTGGGAGCATAGTGGTTAAGATGCTGGATCCTACATGGCCAACTGCACAGTTCAAGTCCCAGGCTGGCAGCTTAAACATCTGAGCCTGTGTACGCATGTGCCCAAAGTCCCAAAAGGAAGGACAAATGGAGGAGAAGAGATTGCAGTATAACCCTTCTCCATGGGAGTCTCAGCCAGTACAGATCTGCCATACTTGGGGAGGTCCTGAAAACTTGAACTCAGATCTGCCTGATGCCTGAACTTGGATTCTTTTCTTTTTAAGTTTATTTATTTTACCTGTGACAGAAAGTTTATGTGAATGAAAGAAAGAGAGAAAAGAGCAGCACCCTTGACATGTTCTTTCCATGCCATGATTCCCCTTCCCGGATCCTCCAGCTCATTCGGATCTTGAGCTTGTGTCCACACACTTACAAGCTGACCCAGAGATCAGAGCCCAAGGTCAGCCATGAGGCTACCAGCACTGCAGGGACAAGGACCTCTCCCTGTGGGTATAGTTGTGTTACAGCTATGCCACTGCCCAGACCTATTCATTCTTCTTTTGAAAGAGGTTGCTTTCCCTCTGCTGGTGCAGCCTCCTCTCCCTTCTCGAAATGACCATCACACTGGGGCGATTCCCATGGCACTTGCTCCATCCTGCTTAGTGGTCAGTGTGCATCTGTCTCAGCTCCCCTTAGACCTGTGGACACTTCCCAAAGTCCATCCTCGCCCTCTGATTTGGCTTCATTTCCCCCCTCTTGAACTAAAGATTTTCTTTCTTGTTATTTTTAAAAAATAATTATTTAATTTTATTTATCATTATTAGTATTATTTTAATTTGCTATGGGGCGCATACACTTACCACAGAGAGAGGGAAAGTGAGAAAGCAAGCTGCCAGGTCCGCTACTTGAACCACGGTTGGCCAAGTGAGAGGTCAGTGCCTTAACCACCACACCACCTGCTGGCCCTGTGAGGATTTCTAAATCAAACATACCGCTAAGTTCCACTTGTCCCTTGGGCCCCTGACCCGAATTTCCAGTGTCTTGTTGGGCATGTCACCCGCACCTTGAGCTCCACATGTTTTCTACTGAACAGTTCACAAGCGGCTGCCTCCTAACTTCTCTCTTCCTGTTAATGAACCACCCTCCTGACAACAGACACGTGGGCCTCTCGTATCTCTTCCACTCCATATCTCATCTGTCACTTTATCCTATTGATTTTTCTGCTCTTGTGAAAATGACTTATTTACTCACTGTGCACTTTCCCACTGTAAGTTTCACTTACCAAGATGGTCTTCTTTCCTGTTTATGGAAATGCTCCACAGGGTGCCAGTTGCACCTGGCAAGTCAGTATCCACTTTGGCATCTTCTCTGCTTGGCATTCCACTTCTCGGAACTCTCTTTTCAACGGTTGACTTCTTCTATCAAAATGATCACGTGCCTTTTCTTTTCCCTCCCTGTCTGCCTTCCTTCTTCCACCACTCTTTTCCTTCATTCCCTTCTTCCAAGAAGGGCTTTGCCTGTCTCCCAAGTAGCAGGGACTTTCGGTGCTTTCTGCTGTAGTCTGGCTTTTAGGGTAGCCTGGGACTCAAACCTGAGCCTTCTAGGTCGCTTTAGGTAGTGGAGGAGAATTGTCTGCCAGTGTG